TGTGTGTGTGTGTGTGTGTGTGTGTGTGTGTGTGTGTGTGCGCAGAAGGTCAGGAGAGCTGGCTGAGAGCTTGTAGGCACAGTTAGCTTAGGGAAGCCAGTGGCTCTAGGGGCTCCTCAAACTTGATCCTTGTTGTCTTGGCCTCCTTGGGAATGTGAAAAGTGCCTGTGCTCTGGATAGCTATGTGCCACAAAGTTCATTTCTCAGCAACGAGAGGCCCTTAAGGCAGTAAGGTGGCAGGTCCAGCCTGTCCTCACCAGGTTTTTGCTTTACATCCAGTGTAGCCCTGTAATTTCTTGTCTTAGTGCTGCAACAAAAACTCACCCAAACTGGGAGTCAAATCCTTCCATGCACTTTGTGGCTCAAGGAAAGGTCACAAACCAGCTTCGAATTCAGGGCCCTGTTTTCCCTGTGTTTTTTGTATCCAAAGTCCAGCATCTGCCATATGGTAAGAATCTATTATTGGTAAGAATTTGCCCAGTGAATATTCATTTTTTACCTTTGAAATTTAGTAATTTCCTATTCAGTTTGTTTGGCTCAAATATTGTTTGTAAATAAGTAAATTATTGCATAGTAAGCAAATCTTTTTCAATTATAAAAATCTTTTCTCTCAAAGGCTTTTGGACTTTACACTGGTAGAAAAATAATGATTGAAACATAAAAGTCCCTAATTATTTTCTTTTAATGTCTCTTCCAGATTATTTGAATATATTTTGCTCTATAAGGATGGAGTGATGTTCCAGATTGAACAAGCCACCAAGCAGTGCTCCAAGTTCCCCCTGACAACAGCCTGGGACCCTCTTGACATTCCGGACAACTCCACCTTTGAAGACCAGTACTCAATTGGAGGCCCTCAGGAGCAAATCACTGTCCAGGAGTGGTCCAACAGGAAGTCGGCGAGAACCTGTAAGGATCCAGAGGGCTCGAGTGTTGCACCTTGGCATGCAGGATGGGGGATGAGTTAAGTCTCTTAAGGAAGGAAGTTGATAGGGAAATTAAGCCCATTTAAATGCCCACACATATCTTGCTAATTATGTGATGTTGGGATCTTGGCAGCAGCCTTCCGTTCCCCGTGCACTTTTCTCCCCATTTGGCCCTTTTGGACTTAGCCTTGGGTTTGACTTTTTATGACCACCTTGTGGTTTGTTACATGGTAAGGCATTTTTCCAAGGTACATATCTGAATTGGGTGCTGCCTTTTCCTCCTCCCACATCTCTTCCGAAATTGCAGTGGCCAGATCCTCTCTATTATTCTGAGTGTTGAACTGACCTGCTTTTATGTGAAGCTCTTCCCTGTAATTCCGAGATTGTTTTAAATGCACAGGCACTCATGTCATGGGAAATGATATAGCATTTTTTTTTTCAAAAAACCATAAAATCACCATATGGTCCACAACTCTAGCTCTGGATATATATCTAAAAGAATTGATGGCAGGGATTCAAACAGATATTTTAACACCCATGTTCATAGTAGTATTATTCCCAACAGACAAAAGCTTGAAATAACCCAAATGTTCATCAGTAGATAAATGGATAAACAAAATGTGGTCTATACACACTGTAAAATATTATTCAGCCTTAAAACGGAAGCAAATTCTGGCATGTGCTACAATATGAATAAATCTTGAAGATATTATATTAAGAGAAATAACACAGTCACAAAGTGTTGCTATAAAGTCACAACACATGTTGTCTGACTCCACTTCCATGAAGAACCCAGTATAAACAGGAGACAGTAGCATGGTAGTTTACAGGTACTAGGAGGAGAGAGAAATGGGAAATTATTGTTTAATAGCCAGAATTTTCAGTTTTGGAAAATGAAAAAGTTCTTGAGAGGGACAACGGTGATGGTTGTACCACAGTCTGAAAGTGGGTCATATTTCCAAACTGTACACTTAAAAAATGTCAAAATGGTACATTTTCTGTTGTGTCCATTTTACCACAATAGGAAAAAACTTACAGGTGCTTTGTCTGTCGCCATTAACACGTCACTCCGCTTTCTCTTGTAGATGAAACCTGGATTGGTGTCTATACAGCCAAGGATTGTTATCCTGTCCAGGAAACCTTCATCCAAAATTACAGTGTAGTCCTGTCCATGCGGTTTTTCGATGTACAGCTGGGCATTAAAGACCCGTCTGTGTTCACTCCTCCGAGCACGTGCCACACGGCCCAGGCTGAGAGTATGAGCGAGGACTGTGCTTGGTGATCTGCAGACAGCAGGAACCTCAGCTGGGAGCGGATCTGAGAGTCTTCACTGCACATGAAGATAATGTAGGGTGATAAACCCTGATGAGAGTTTGTTCATATCTTTGACTGTGGCTACTTGGCTACATTCACAGAAGGAAACTGGGTGGATTTTCTGCATGTCAGTGCCAGGCTGTCCAAAGGCGTGGGGGGTCAGCATGAGTGTGTCTTGGCAGGGTTGAGTATTTCATTACTGATGCTGTTAAGAATTGATGGCAAAAGTACAAAGAATGGCCCCTGTTTTGCTGCGCCAGTGTGGCAGTTGTCCCCACTGACCCCCATCCCTGCCTCCACTTGTCCCCTCTCTCCCTTTGGCTGCTAACAAAATGATCCCTTAAAATGCCTTCTATACTGACGAGCTTTATGGTATGACCTGATGGATATAAATATTTTGGAAGGAAATGAAAGGCCTTAATGCAAAGTAATAATTTCTCAAAAGGGGAAAGGAAAGGGGAGAAAAAAATTATAAACAAAAGTTGGCACAATCTTACTGCCTATACCTAGAGGAGCGTGGGCCATATATGTGCTTGCTCTTTGCAGGGTATCATTTACTGTGCTGAATCTACAGAGACAGTGGGCAGAGGGTGTTCTAAAATAGCACAGAAACAGGTTTCAGGCGACTATCACCTCCCAAATCCAGGGTTAGAATTCCCTTGCACCTCGCACTCTAACTTCCTCAGGTGTTAAATGCACTAGGCTTTCCTCACCTTAGCCTTCCTGGGACTCTATTTCACAACCTCTGTGTCTATCTGACTTCTGCTCATCTTTCCTAGGTTGGCTCGCACATAGCCTTCTCTGAGAGCCACGCCTAAGCCCAGATGAGTTGCGTTTGCAGCTTGACAAGCGTGCTTTTCTTGTGACACTTATTATGCTCTGGGCCAATTTCTTGCCTCCTGGACGCCATTCTCTGCTGTCCTGGTTAAGAGTCCCCTGAGTACGGGTACTGTGTCCTGTTTTCTTTTATATCCCCAGCACCAAGCAAGTGCCTGGTACACAGTGAGTGCCCTCAACATTTGTAGAGTGGCAAATACTGCCCTCTGGCCCTCAGTTTCCTCTTGGGTTAAGTGGGGTTGAATTTGCTGATCATTAGGGAGATTTCCAGCAATGCGATTTATTCTAGATTCTCCCAATACTGTGTTTAATCTGCCAACTATCTGTAACTATCAGGAGAAATGTACGATACCTGTATTATGCTGAAAACAATCTGTATTACTCACAGTTTATCTATATAAGTAAATAAATTTAATTGCATCTCCAAGCATTCTTTGATCTATTTGCTTTTGTAACAAGTATGAATGACCTTGATTATAGGAGTGGAAACTCTTCTCTAAGGAATCAATAAAGTGCTTCACATAATCCAAACCAAATTGTTATCCTTTCCTGGAAGCCTGCTCTGTCAATTACCTTTCCTGATGTCCATTTTCCAGCTGCTTCAGAATCATTCGTGACTCACTTTTCTCCTTCCAACTCCACCACCAGTTGGTACTCTGAGTACTATCAACATAGTTCTTTTTATTATTATTAATTTTATTGGTACATTTTAGGTATACAATTTAATGACATTCATCGGTGGAGATTTGTACCTTTACATAACATATCTTGGTTCTTATTTTTCCCCCTTCCCCTGCCCTCCCTTCCACCCCTCTACCCCTCCCTATTTACAAAGACTTTGTTTCTATTTTTTCATTTTGTCATATTAATTTCATTCCCCTCTTTCCTTTCCCCTTTCCCCTTTGCCCTTTTTTCTTCCTATTTCACATTATCTATTATACATTTTGATCCTTATTTACACTTTCAGTTTTTTGTCCATATCCTCAGCTACCACCAGGTCTGGGGATATTGCCACCCTCCATCCTTGCCATGGTCTTTTCTTCTAGAAACTGTCCCATCTCCTGCATTCATTCATTGGTAATCATAACCACTGGTGAGCACCTTTTCTCTCTGCTCTCCGTGAGAATTGCTGGACTCACAGAGGAGGGCTAACAGAGCTAAGGCAGGCATCTGGACTGCATAGACTCAGAGGACCATGACAGCTAAGTTCTGGGTGGGTCCAGCCTGGAGAGCCTTCATAGAAGTGCTGTTTCTACTTACTATCCCCAGCTTCACAATGGCCCCCTCCTCTCTGTCTTACTTTTTTTGTTGCTGAGACAAAATACCTGACACCCACAAGTTAAAGAAGGAAAGATTTATTTTAGCTTATAAGTTGTAGAAATTTCAGCTGGCCCCTAAGCCAGGACAGCATGGCATGGAGGCATGGCAGAGAAGAAACAGTCCGTGGAGTACAGGCAGGAAGCAATGAAGCAGTGAGCCTGCCTTCCTTCTGTCCCTTCATATTCCATGCAGGGAATTCCAAGGCTATTGGTTGGTGCCACCGACACCCAGGGCGGGCCTTCCCAGTATCCACACTCAGAACTGTGCTAAACCAATTAGTGGACTAATTTACTTTCCACACCCTTAATTCAGCTTCACACACTCGAGATGCAGCCAGCTCCAAAAAGCCCCACCTGTGAGCATGTGAGGCTTTAGGGGGCATCTGAATACAGCCATAACACTCAAAACTGCACACTTCCCCTTACCCTTGCAGTTCTCTCTTTGTTTATCCCAGGCCAAATCTCCATTCAGAACAGAAGGGAAGAAAACCTCGTTTATTCAGGAACATACAGTGTGTTCCCTTCTCTTGTTCAGCTGGCCCCTTCTACGAGTTAAGCCATGTCGCAGAAATGAATACAAAGCCCAGAAGGATTTTACATCTGGCGGGGAGCTCAACAGGGATGTGATGGTGACCTGCCCCTGTGCTTCTCCACTGTGTAAAAATAAAGGGAGTCCCCTTAGCATGAAGGGCCAGTTTTGTTTTGATCAGGCCTGTAACTCCCCAACATTGGTACTGGGCTTTCTTTGAAAAATAATGGCTGGGTGACCTCTGGGTGGCAGGAGGGTTTCCTTAGCTGGCACTCTGGCTGGAAAAGGTCAATTAAACATGGTGGGGACTGGTGCCTTTCAATGCCAAGTAGCATCACGGGGCAGAACACACTGGCAGACCGTGGGATTGCTGAAGATGGGTGTGAACTACAGTTGGTATCACTTTGTGGCTGCCCTGCTTCTTACATTTCTAACTCCTTAAGCTACATGGGAAAAATCGACTTCCGCCTCTCCCAAGGCAGCCTTGCTACTTCTAAATTTCCACGATCCATTCCAGCACTGGTCTGTGCTCGCCCCTTCACCTGCCTTCAACTCTGCCTGGCTGAAGAAAGCCCAGGCCTGGGTCACAGCCACTCAGTCACTCTCTCTCTCCAAGGCTGCCTGCTTGGCCTTTCAGACCCATATTTCCTTATCAGGGTGATTTCTAATCAGGAGCTTTGCTCCTTGGGATTTCCTAAAATTGGGACACGTTTAAAAGTTACTTAAATATTTAAAGGCCAAAATGTTTGGACTTCTGGGGAATTTTCATAAAAGACATAGTTCCCAAACCAGCTAAAATCCACATCATTTGAAAACTCAGTATGCACCTTTTTCTGGGCTTCCTCTATGGAGTCCACCCTCAATGTACCTTTTGTTATTTTAAATCATTTTGCCTGTGTATTCCCCTGTATCACAAAGGCTGTTTTCACCTTTTCCGGATTTGTGGATCAGGTCTTCTACCATCTGCAGAAAGCAACTTAGGTGCAGGAACTGTGTTTTGTCTTTCTTGTTGATTCAGAATAACTGGATGATTTAAATTAGATGAGAGAATGAGACTCCTCAGCCAAAGACTTCAGAATAATTTATGAACACCTCATAAAGAGACAAAATTAACTTTGTTTATGAATAGTCTGGAATCAGTATTCAACTCTTTTGAGAACTGTCCTAGGATAGTAACAAAAGAAATATGTTCTGTTTTTATTTGTTTTATAGCAGAAATATTAGCTCCACTGCTAATGTAGAGAAAAATATTGGGCCTATAATTTATGGTATATTTTATGCAGAAAGAATTATGCTTACTTTTAAGATATTCCATTTTAAAATACATATTGTTTCCATTACAGCAAAAATAGTATTTTCAATAACTATTTCATATTTAAAGTTGGAAAATGTAATGCTGCTTCCGCAATTAAGGAGTGGACTATAATTATCCCATAATTTAGGAGTAATCTTTTGGTGAATGCAATATCCACAGTGTTTAAGTAATGTGAGTATATGTGTGCCTGTGAAATGATATGATTGCAGGGTATCATTCCCAATGGCACGCTGTCTATTTATTTTAACATATAGTTTTTCAAATCATAGCTAATTGTTCTTTTCCGTCATCAGGATAATGATTGATGACCAAATAGGTACTCTTCTTACTAACACATGACTACTTCCATTTCAATCTGTAGTAAGCCCCTAGTTTCAAATTTAAAAACTACCCCAAAATGATAAAGTAATAGATTATCTGTTATTGTGTGCAGTGATTTTTTCAAAACCAACATGTTCACAACCATAGTTGGTGTATTAGTCTGCTTTTTGTCACTGCAGTGAAATACTAGAGGCAGGCTACTTACAGAGAGAAGAAGTTTATTTTGGCTCATGGTTTTGGAGGTACAGGTCATGGGGCTGCATCTGGTGGTGTCCTTCTTGCTGCCACTGTACCACGTTGGTGCAGGGCATCAGGGGAGATACAGGGAACATACATATGTGTGTGTGTGTGTGTGTGTGTGTGTGTGTTTGGTCTCTCTTCCCCCTTTTATAAAACCACTGGGATTCAATTGTTAGGCTCAACCTCGATGACCTTATCTAATCCTAATCACTTCCCCAAGGTCCCATCTTTAAACATCAGAGTCAGATTATGTTGCCATTCTGTTAATACCTCATAATGGGAATTACATTTCAACACATGAAGCCTAGGAACACTCCAAGCCACACACAATCCATAGCAGTTTGTTTTATTTTGCAGTCAGCCTGGAGCAAGTTGGCTGCTGGAGAAACACTGGTACTAGCTTCCCAACAAAAGTCACCAACTGAAAGTACTGTAAAGTTCCCAGTTTACTAAATACACAGACCTGTTAGATTAACAGTGTAATTCTGGGACTAGATAATGTGGGCAGTTACAGACACATCATACAATATCTTAAAATAGTATTATAAAATCTCTTGGTTTTGTTTCACTTTCATCCCAGAAATGATGTTTCTTGTCAGATCACGTGATCACTGTCTTATCTTCTGAAATAAAGTACATCTTAGTAAGGCCTAGGTTCCAACTCAATTCCATTTAAAAATGAGAAATCTTTTGCCAGGAAAAGTAAACAATGTGTAAAAACTAAATTTAAAATTTTCAATGAGAAAAAGATAAAAGTTATTTCTAAAACACTTTGTAATCACTTTGGTGAGTGGTGTGTATGAGCAGCAGTTGCAATTCAGTCTTGTTTTAATATAGTTGTTTGTTTTGGCAAAAATTTCTGATTCTAAGTTATTAAGTGAACTTTTCTCAGTTGCTCTAGCTCCTGTGAGGGATAATACAGTAAAGACAGACTCATCTGTCTTTTGTGACCTTAAGAAGTCTCAGTGACTTTATGGAACACATTCACATCATGGGAATAAGCAAGCGAGCAAAGGTATGTGCTTTGTGAAATTTTTTAAAGGTCAACTGTCCCTTCATAGAACGCCCTTCATAATCTCCTCCCAGATTAGCCATTACACATGTTTTCTGATCACAATAACTCACACCATATAAAGAGCAACCTCTGGTACCTCAAAGGTTTTCAGACAGACCACAAAACTTCTGATATCTTAGCACTAAGAATTTTGCTTAACTCTTTATGGATCCTATTTCAGTAATATTAACAAATATGGTTCATGGAACTCCTAGAAAATTCTAGCTCAAACTACCTATATCCCAAACATCAAAGAGAAAGGAGAGGGAGAAGTGAAGGAGGAAAAATCATTTACCACCATAAATTCATAATCCAACGGAGGTGATACATATTGAAAATTAAATATGAGAACAGCTAAGCAATACTGAAAAAACACCTCAAAGGTTTTCAATTCAGCTACTACTGCTATAAGTTACCTTAACATAGACCATTTCCAAACTGAATGTTCTTCCATAAACCACTACCCATAGGCCTCTTTTATAAAAAATTCACAATTGTTCCCATATCTGTGGATCTGTTTACCTTATAGTAGGTGTTACTATTTAATGAAGAAGGAAAATAACTTTAAAGAGAATTCCACTGACCTTAGGAATAGTGTCTCTGTTTTATCCAGATAATTCAAATGTTTCTAATAATACAAGAATGACAGGAC